CGCTTCAGTGGGGTGGAAATATCCAGAGACTTCCCTCCTCTTAGTGACTCATTTCATGATAAGGAAGTTCTTTTGCCATCCATTCTGTTTGCCTCCCACTTCATCCTCTTGGCCACTGCTATGGAGAGTAACAGGCCCCAGTTGTGCATATGCATTTCTTAAATTAATCATGGGTTAAACAATGAGATGAGATGAGCACAGTCACAGTCATCATGTTTTCCACGCTACATGGTCTGATATGAAAAGTTGTCACTGGGTTGGCCGGAGATCAAAGAGCACATTTCCATAAGAGTTCCTCTCATTTTCTCCGCCTGCCAAGAGAAGCCAACATTGCCTCAAACTAAACTGAAATGTCTAAGCAGTGGCTTTTTGATAAGTAAACATAAATCTTATATATGTGTGTTATAAATATATAACGTAAGGGGAACTACAGGTTTAAGATGGGAAAGGGAGCAAAGTTATTCAAGCAGAAGCAGAGAGGCGAGCGTTCGCCTGAAGGAAAGGTGGGAGTAATTACAGGTCAGCCAAGGAAACAAACCTAAAGCATTACAGATCACCACTGTGCTCAACATATTTCCAAAGTGCTTGCCAGCACGCTCTCAGATGCCTGTTGTATTCACATGGTTAAAAAGCGCACACAAAATACTCCGATTTCAGCTCTTTTCCGAAGAACAAAATGCTGTTCACATTTGTCTCACCATCATCTATGCATTCCTCTCACCTTTCACCTCCACAGATCTGCGAAACAATGTGCTCTTTGGGCCGGTAAACTCTGCAAACAGCCCAGCATGAGGGCCACAGTTAGACTCGGCTCGGGGTTGATTTCTTTATCCTCCTATTATGCTGCAGATCTCTCCGCATGGCCCCAGAGCAAGCAGGGTCTAAAAACCCTGGGGAAGTGCTCATGTCAGACTAGTGGAAGAATTAAATCAGTGGCTATTTACAAGCAGTGCACTTTTAAACTCTTTTCCAGAAACATGCAATTCTCTGAAGTATGCAATTTTAGTGCTTGCATCTCAAAATCTGAACAAACCCTCATGCTGTAATTTACAGTGTTATGTATTACCAACACATTATGATAAGCAAAGCTTCGGGCTCATGGTTTATCTTAGATGAATCTCATGTAAACTCGGTGTGCAATTACAAGCATCTATTTGTCTTTGAGACACAGACGATGGATAAGCAAGGCTGTTTATTTACAGTACAATACTCGACATTTACAAGGCAGTGTAAACAGGGCCGTGTGAAACTGGATGTTTAAATTTTCAGTACATGTCACTTCCACGACCTGCACTCCTTGCCAAAAATAATACCACTGGTAAACCAGCCAACAACAATAAAAATACAAGGTTTCTTTTAACATGCTGATTTTTGGAACTATTTACTTATTTTTATCACAGAGCCAAAAGAGTCATATAAAAAGAACAGAGTGAAGCTGTAGTAGTTTCAGCAGCCTAGTTTTTCAGATCAAACAAATCTCAATGGCTATTACATGGAAGGGTGTATTTTCAGACAGACGCCTTGGTGATTGTTTGCAGCCAGCAATAGTACTTGAAAAATTGTAGATTAACAATAATATTATATCCGTGTGTGTATATATATATATATATATATATATATATATTTATATATATATATATATAGATATATATATAGATATATATATAGTGAAAACATACAGGCCTATTTTTATTATTGATGAATTTCAATGGACTGCATGAATTAAACGCATTCGCCACTCAGGTTGTGAACTCCGGGGTTGTATATAACCTATTTTCAGCCAGTTGTTTCTCTGTGGTTTGGAGGTGCCATAGATTGGCCAGAGAGAGGCCAGATGGTCAATAGCCTAGATGAGGCTGCAATTTGGAACAATTGGTCAGGCTACACGGAGGAGGAACTGGTTGCCTTTTTAACTGGGAACATCAGGCGAAGTGACTGCTTTCATTTTTCTTCTCTGTTCTAATTTAATCATTAAATGTGACAAAGTCATTCTGTCACACCCAAGGTTGTGCTAGAACGCCAACACTACAAAGGAGCAAAACAAGCAAGAAATCTAAAGAACAAGTCATAAGACAGAGCTGCAGGCAAAACCAGTACTTACTGCACGAACACACGTATCCGCACCCAAGTCAATTACTACCCAACCAATCACTAACCATGCATCAGAGCTCTAACTTAGTCACCAACCATTTTAGTTCCAGTAAGGGAAAAAAAATCAATTACAGTTAAAGACCTCCTTTAAAATGGAAAAAACAGCCTAAAGGATCCCAGACCAGTGCCTGACCGCTTTCTTTTTTCCCCCTCATACACCTACAACATGGCGGCCAATGTCCTTTAGTGGCTTCCAAAAACTATAGTTATTTGTCAAACTCAGCGTCAGAAGGCTTTACGGCCTGTGACAGGGCGTGGGCATAGGTTTCTTGCGCAATCTAAGCAGTAGGTCGGGCAGTGAGGCTTTGTGTGGTCAGCTAAGGTATGTGCTTCTTTATGCCAGAGAAGATTATGAGTGTGGAAGGGTGTGTTTTATGGCTGGAAAACTGTGTCAGTGTCAACACTGAATCGACCTGAAAGGTGTGCACATTTGAGTGTGCCACTGCTCTCCCCTACTCCAGCTTGTTGTACTCTTTGACTGAAGGCTGTCTCACTCATTTAACCTGTCACACTCTCTAGTGCTCTTTTATTGATTGCTCTTCAACTGCAGATCCATCACTGAGAGGCAGTTCCGGCCTGGAGCTCTCCCCGGGGAACAAATTGTCCAGCTCTAAAAATATACAGGCCTATTTTGATTGGATTTGAATGGGCTGCATGTGTTTTATGTCTTTGCCACTGTGCTTTGAGGGTAAATTAACTGATTTAAGTGAAGTTGATAAAAATGCATGTGAATACAAAAAGTCAGTAAAAGTGCATGCACATTAAATGTTTGAGGGGGAAAACAGTCTGAATTAAGAAAATCAACTAGTACTAGTATTAAAATCGTGCTAATTTGACAAAATATGATCCAATTTATCATTAATCATAAAGGTGGTCTATGTATGAGGGTGAATATAAGTATTCTTTGATAACTGACATGCATTTGTATAGATAGACTTTATTTTCATCGGTTACTTCAGCAGCTCCACTGTGGAGTGAATGTAATTTATTTTCAGCCCATTGACAGTTTCTTAGTAATTTGAAGGACTCATAAATTGATCAATAAAGGTGGACCAATTTCAATATATTGAAAAATCGAACATGCAAAACATTTAAAATGCTTTACAAGATCACTATTTTGCACAAAAGACACTTTGCATTTTTTTATTTAAATGAAATAAATTTGTATTTTTTCAAAGCCAAACTATCTGTGCAGTTTATAATTAGAACTTTGAAGAATCAATACTTTTTAACCCATAAAATACCAAAAGGCTTATTGAATCTTGGCCTCAGAATCAAAAACTCATATCGAGTATGTATAGAATTACAGCTTTCTTGGCCAGTGTTCTGTTGAATATCCTAGGTGAGGCTGTAATTTTGGAACAATAGGTCAGGCTACATCGTACACGTCCGGATATAAGAGACTTTTTTTTAACAACTGTACATCCATCACTGAAAGGCAGCTCTGGCCTGGAGCTCTCCCTAGGGAATTCCTCTTGCCTGCAGTAATAGGGGAGGCTCCTTGGTAAACCTAGGAGGAATGCACCACAAGAGGTGGGGGCAAGTGGGACCAATAGCTAGAGTTAAACACTGCACTACATTGTTCTGCTACCTTAACATTCCTTTCCCCAACCTTTTCACCATCCCCTCCCTTTCGGCCTGTCTCAACCTCCATCTATCTCTCTCTCCTACACACCACACATACACTCACACACAGACACACACCTGTGCACTTGATTCTCCGCTTTGAATTAATATCAATTAACACATGCTAATTACAGACATATTAACAAAGTGTTAATAATTGTTTGGTATTAATGATTCATTAAAAAACAAAGCTGAATTGCAGTGAGGAACTCCTGTTTGAGAAAACGGTTGGTGTGCTGGTGTAGGCTGGTGGGGTACCTGCCTCTACAAGAGTCACTGTTATTGGGAAAGCTTTGTTAAAGTGCTGGGGTTTTGAAGGCATTTGTAATGGAATGATTCAGAACAGGCCCTAGCATGCCGCGACTCCCATGAACATTTTCTTCAGTCACAAAACACCTGAATGTCAAATGGCTGAACTCTCACTAGTGTGGTGAGAGAAAAAACAGAGAATGAGAGAAAAAAAGGATAGGAAAGAAAAAAAACAACAAAAAAGTACAAGCTGTAGTTATACATGGCCACTGGAGAGCTATGCTCTGAGGCAGGCTTTAAGTCCATAAAAAACTTCTGCCTTTGAAACAGTCACTGACTAAAAATGCTGGGGTTAAAAGGGTCAGATCTCCGACTGTAAAGAGAAAACATGCTTCAAATGCACAGCTTTTTTTTCAGGCGCTGTGCTCTGAAAGAAATGGAGGTTAAGGTATTGTTTGGTACTTGAAAAGTAGTAAAAAATGCTTTAAAGTTTCATTAATTTAGGGGTACTGGACAAAAAATTGTAACAGACAGCCATCAATTATGTAAAGTTCAGATTTTTTTGGTTTTGTGTTTTAATTGTGGTTTGAGTTTTGTTTACCAGTCGAAAAAAATGTCTCCATTAGACCTTCTCTTATGTGGTACTAAAGTGGTAGTTTTCACATTTTTGCTCATAGTCAAAGTAGATGTGGTGACATGTATGGTAAGGTTGAAGAATTCCAGCCATTTAACTTGAGCTAGTTTACCCAAGGGGGTATTCCACTATGATGCTACAAAAGCCCCTGACGAAATACACATAATCCTCCATAATAAATACCAATGCTGACAAATGCTAAAAACACATATTGTACTATTTTCAGGTCAAATCCATAACCAAAAAAACATTTCTCAAATGAATATCAGGCTTGACGGCAGCCACAGCTGGCAATCGACTCACGGACTGTACGAGCTAGACAAAGGGACTCATGTCTTACCTTGGCACGAATCATTCTTAGCTTCATATCCCGAACGGCACTGGCACTGGCCCACTGGCACCACCCATTCACCATCCACAGTGCAGTAAATGCGCGGTTGGTCCTCACTCACAGCGTTTTCCACACAAGCCCCAGCCACCTCCCGCAGGGCCTGGTTCTCGCCTCCTGCCACTGTCTCAGGGAACGCTGCCAAGCTCTTCACCGTGGCTGGGCACGTTTTATAGTACACCCTGACTGAGTAAATAGCCACACAGGCCCCAATGTCCTGAAAGGCCAGGTAAAAGCCCTTCCGGGACAGATTGTCCACCACCCGAGTCTCTGTGTTCATCTTCATGTCTCCGACGCCAGAGATTTCATCTGGCGCGATGGTGGCCACCTTGCGGAACTGGCCTTTGCGGAAGCTGGTGCCAATATCAGCATCAGCTTCAGAAGTGTGCAGGTTGAAAGTCTCCTTGCAGGTGAGCGAGTCCGCACCAAAGCTGTTGCAGTCGCGCACGACAAATCGCATCTCCACAAAAACCCGAGTGGCAGTCGGGTGGCGCTGTATGAACGTGGTCCGTAGCCAGTTGTCCTGTTCTCCTGCCCCCACGTTGCAGATGAAGTAGTTATAGAGCAAAGAGCCATTCAAAGCCTGCTGAGCAATCTCCCACTACAACAGGAAGAAGAAGAAAAACAGATGGACATAGTTAGTGAAGAGCAATATTAACTTCAATTTATATCACAATATTTCCACTATCCAGAATATGACATGATATCATGATATAGCAATAAATAAATAAAATTTATTTAAAAAATTATAAACCCCAAAGGAAACACGTAAAAAGTTTTTAAAACCAAGACAATTAAAGAACTTTCTCCTTCTTTTATTTCCTTAGTTTATTGCGCAACATTAGCTGAAAGCTTCATCATATTCCCACACATGCTTGGCTTTGTCGTTTTCCATATCATTCCATATCATGGAAAAACATCATGGCAGTATTCACTTCTATACCAGCATATCTCCCACCTCTAATGCAAGTGAGGAAGAGTCAAACCCAAGGCTGCCAAGTAGCAATTGCTGAGGGCAAAAATAACACAAAGTGTCTCCAGTGTGGAATCTTAAGTACTAGTGAGGATCCTGGTTCATTACCCATTATCCTTTGGCAGAGAATAGCACATAATTCCAACTACTGTAAATGGACTGATGTAAGTTTTCAGAGGCAGCGCTTGTGTGCTTTTCCTCTGTATACTGCCACTATGCCATTAATTACAGGAGAGGTGCGTTATTTTCACAGTGTGTGGCACAACAATAAAACAGTCCATACCACGCAACTGCTGAGCAACTGCTCCTATAAAAGTCTATTCCGTGGGTTAACATATTTCATCATTTTAAAGGGTCTTATACTCTCTTTAAACGAGCAGCAGCTCTTTAATAGTGCAATTAAGCTCCCATACAGCCCAAACATGCTGACTGTTTGCCTCCACCTAAACTCTGTTTGCCTGCACCTAAACTCTTCTCTTATGTGGTACTAAATTGCCAGTTTAAATTGCAAGTGGTGACATGTATGTAGGGCTGGGCATTAAGATGATATTTAGCATTATCGAGAAAAATTACATCACAAAATACTTTTCTCAGTATATCATGGATATCATCAGTGCTTAAAATATACTGACCAACTGAACGTTCTGCTACAAAGGGAGTATAATTAGTCCTTTTAAATAGATTTAGTACAGGGCAATGTGTGAAACCACTGGTTCTTTTGTCTATTGCAATTCATCAAATAACAGAAAAATACATGTATAGTGATATATTGTGTATCACAAAAGTCAAAGTATTATGATGTTGTATTTTTGCCATATTTCCCACCACTGCATGTACGGGATTAAAAGAATTCCAGCCATTTAGTTAGTTTACCTCAATAAGTGTTCCACTATGATAAAAAATGTACTGCCTAATATCCCAGAAACCATCTAACTCTTCACAAACTGCCAAAGACTCTGTATAAATTTCAAAGAGAGGTTCTAGAAAACATAACTTTCAGAGCGAGTTAATGAATACAAGACCAAACATGCCCCAACATCTTGTCCAGCACCATTAACATGGTAAGAGAGCGATTTGCATTAGCATTCAATGTGACTAAACATGGAAATGAGACACATAAAGCACAAAGGCTCAAGAGCATGGCAGGTGGGGCACTAATGTAAATTCCTAACTAAACGTCCTACCATTATCTGGAAAATGTACTCGGGAATCTTGGGAAATTTCGCTTGGGAAAAGTTTCCATGGGCATCTTATTTGGGCCAAAAAGGAAAAAAAAGAGGCAACTTAACAAAACTGCTAAACTCACATGTTTCAAGAAGCACCACATGTGTCCAACTTGAAATGTTAATTACACCCTTAGTTATACAATCCTGAAGACAGGGCTTTAAAACCACACGAGGCCACAAATATTCTAAAGCAGCAAACTAGCTGCAGACTTTTCTAGGAGCGCCACAGACACTCTGCCGAGCGAGAAGAGCTTCTGTTCTGCACCAGAAACCCTCCAAATTATGAAACTGAGTGTGAAATCATTGAGACAGAATGAATAAACCTGAACGTGTGTCAAAGTCCAAGATTTGGCATCACAGAGTGTTTAAGAAGTGGATAAAATGAAAGAGAAGCACAATCCATGTACTCACCCCTTGCTCATCAGGCCAGGTCAGCCAACCCAACTCCCCTCCGGACGCCACCATGTCCAACAGCACCTCTGTGTTAAAGGGAAAAAAATCAGCTTCGCACTTCATATTTTACTGAGTCACATTCCACAGGAATGCCTATCATTATTAGGCTGCAGGTAAAGTCACACATTCTTTAAAAGCAGTGAACAAGGGCTCTAGAGAAGGTCAGTCTCAGTCTAACTCTAGATGAGCAGACAGAGATTCCTCTAACTTAGTGCCTCAGATTGAAACTCAAAGTTTCTAAAGTTGGAGATTCTTTTCTTCTATCTACAATCTGACTTTCTCTAAAGTTCTTTTGTTCCTATATTTAATTTCTTTAAGTTTTACCTCTTCTTGTTATTTACATGGTAAAAAGCTACTTTTATTTTTAAAATAATGTTGTGTGTTACTTAGTTTCATCAGACTGGCTGTGGAGTTTTAACAACTGGATAAAACCTTTGTACTTTTTTATGTTGTCAATCATCAAACAAGAAAAAGTGACTTTAAATTTAGTGGACTGCATCGGCTGCCCTTCGAAATCGCCCAAGAACTTTTACCCCCATTAAAACCAAACGGCGTGGCAGTAAAAGAGTAGCAGGTAAGCGGAGTGAGGAAGTGGCTCGCGGTGCTGCAGCAAAGTGAACAGCCTGCCAGCCATGTGAGGAAAAAGTCCAGCCGAACATTCAGACAGAACCAAAGTTCCTCTAACTGTTCTTTAAAAACGCTACTCACCTTCTTTATTTTGAAGAGAAACGAATATGCAGTTTATAAATACGTTGACAAATAAAATTCGCTTTATCCGACGGTAATCCATGCTTCCCTTTTCGTGGTGTTAAAGTGCTGTGAGCTCCTCGCTGACTCTGCTGCCGCTCCAGCTGCTTCTCCACAGCCTCATTGAGAAACGCACAGCCTCACGGGTCCCGCCTATTGGAATGCAGAGGGCGTGGTTATGTGGAAGGTGCTCCTCCCCCAACCTGCCAAAGTTCACTCACCTGTAAGATTTACGGCCTTAATATTTAACCAAACTCAAGGAGTTGAAACTGTAAAGAATCTATCTATCTATCTATCTATCTATCTATCTATCTATCTATCTAGCTATCTACAGTCATGTGAAAAAGTGTGGGCACCCCGGTCACATTACATTTTGTTGATTTTCTAAGTAAAAGTAAGTTCACATATCCTCTGTAGAGAACACACGTCTGCACGTTTTAAAGATCACTCTTTGCTGAATTTAAACATTGAGAAAAAAGTTAAACATAAAATGTGTCCTGTTGAAAAGTTATAGTACATTTTAAATTTTATGTTTGTTTCTGTGTGTTAAACTCAGCAAATACACAGAAATTGTGCATTAAAATGCCATATTTAGGTTTGTTATCTGTAGAGGATATGTTCAAAAAACATGTCATCTGACCTATGGAGTTCAAACATTTGCATATGACTATCTATCTATCTATCTATCTATCTATCTATCTATCTATCTATCTATCTATCTGTCTGTCTGTCTGTGTGGCTATCTGCCTGTTTGTCTGTCTGTCTGTCTAGGCCACTGGAGGCCATAGGTGAGATCTTTAAAATAGCCCCCCTCCACAACCCCCACACCTGGAAAATCTGTCCCAACACAAAACACCTACAGAATCAGTGTATAACAAGTATTTCCTTTCTACCTTAATTTATTAATGTTATTATTAACTGCTGTATACATACCATCTATCTATCTATCTATCTATCTATCTATCTATCTATCTATCTATCTATCTATCTATCTGTCTGTCTGTCTGTCTGTCTGTTCAAAACTTTATAACTGAAACTTTTACTTTCACCATCTAATTAATTAATGGCACCCTTACTGTCTGTATCCCAGTAGGGATTCGCAGCACTAACAGTTTGTGCTGGAGGAAGCATGAATACAGCCGAAGTCTCAACAAAAGCATCCCCTAGCAACTCTGAGGAATTTTGGAGTCAAGCTCCGTATATTTTGAGACCCCCGCTTTGCTGACTCCACAAGAGCCTCAGACATACTGAAAGACTTCGGCACAATAGCGCCGATGACAGGAGGTCGCTTACTTTAAAGAGCGCAGCATTTTACAGCAACCCTTTGTCTGTTCGTTTGTTTTTCTGCTTTTTATACAGGATATGGTTCACATAGCTTCACTGTTACATTACTGGAGAAATAAATGCAGGCTGAACATACCATACTGAACAGCTTTTAAAGTGGATTTCCTAGCTACTTTGTTAAAACTGATTTTTTGAGAAACACCCAATTTTGAGTTTTTTTCTACACTGTAGCCTAGAGCCTATTGTAAGACAGTAAATAAAAGTGCTTTGAGTTTAGATCTCCACATATGATCTATAGCACATAGATGTATAAATAACCGGCCCAAACCGCCTCAAAGTTCAGCCTCATATGAAATGTATCCTTGCAGGGCGACACTAACTGCCCTGCTTTTCTTCTCCGGCCCCCTTTGTTGTGCCACACCTGTGGGAAAGGCTCGGGCTCATTGCTTCTGTCACAGGAGCAGTGGCCTTGTCACTATGCCCACTCCTCACGCCCCCAGCCCCCCAGGCCCCAGTTTTCACAAAACCCCCTCACACCAGGCTCTGCTCCTGATGTTTCAGAGCTCCATTCAGACAACAATGCCATCTCTTCCACTTCCCCGCCCTGCTCTCCTCACTTCACACCTCGCTTTCACACACGCATATGAACAGAGAGAGAGAGAGAGAGAGAGAGAGAGAGAGAGAAAGAGAGAGAGAGAGAGAGAGAGAGAGAGAGACAGAGAAAAAGAGAGAGAGTATGAAGGCTTTTTGTAAAGTGAGTGTGTAAAAAAATATTTTGCCCACTTACTGAGCAAAGAGGCATTAGTGGCATTTTTGTCCAAAGATGAATGTAAACAGTCCACTATGTATAGTGTTTTTATTTATTTATTTATTTACTGAATCAACTATTTAGTGCTTATAAACGATTGACAATGTTAATTATGATAATGAAGCAATAGTTAGTTATGATGATTATGATAATATTATTATTATTGTTGATGTTTTATTTTTTTACATTTTTACATGTTTTTTTTAAATACCTTTATTTTTAATTTATTTTATATTTAAATGACATATTTGTATTTTTATATTTCATTTTCAAGGGTAATGAAGTATGATCAACATAATGAAATATAATCAACATAATCACCATAAAAATAAATATGCCGGTGTGTGGCTAATTTTCTGCTGTTGTTGCTGAGAAGCAGTATTACAAGCCAAAACAAAATAACAGACATTTTCCATACAGATGAATGACAGCATGTATGCTTTTTTTGGAATTACTGTGTGATTGTGAGTTTTTCAGTCTTTATTTCCAAAGCTATGCAGTCGAAAATATAATACACACACAAAAAAATATTAGGAGAGGAAAATATGCAGTGAAACTGATACGGGAAGCAATAAGTGCGCTCTTGTGTGGTTTGGTGGGAGGGCTGCCAAGCACAGGTGTGAGTGAACTCAACAGCAACGTGGTGAACAGCAGGCCCATTGTTAACAGCCCATCAACATATAGCAGCAAGTGTGGCTCACAGAGGCAAGTGTGAGCTAATGTATGTCTCAGCGAATACACTCAGTGGGAATGCAATGGCGTCCTGCTCTGAAAGGCTGGCAGTGTGGATGATAAGCAACACATGATACCACTGCTTTTAATTACCTTTCAGTAAAATTTTGCCACCCTGGAAGATGTATAAGATACTGGTTAAAATGAGACTGGTCCACTGAGACAGAGGTCTTGATGGACTGGGAACCGCATAAATGGGCCAGGTTAATGCTGCAAATTGGTTTCAGTTTGTGATAAGGTCGTTAGCTAATGATGCGTGTATAAAAAGAGGCATTAGCAAGTGAATGTACGAAACAACTCAGTTTCTGTATACAATGTGTGCAGCTATCAGAAAAAGCTATCAGAGCCCACTTCTAAGTCAGATCATAATCTCTATAGGCACAGTTTGGAGTGACACTCACAGCGGAGGACCACACACAGCGATAGAAGCTTGGCCATATGAGGGGAGTCAACAGAGGCTTTATTGAGGAAACCCCACCAAGGTCAATCCACACGCACTCTTAAAAATAAAGGTTCCTAAATAGTTCTTGGCCAAACCATTCTAGGAAAAAAAGGTAGTGAAACATCTTCTGCGAAAAAAGGATCTTGAGGGAGCCAAAAGTGGTTCTTTTGTGTCATTGCTTTAAATATCCCTTTTTGGGACCTTTATTTTTAAAGAGGACTCTTCAAAAAAGCATAATCTTCAAGATGTAAACAAAGTCATTCAGAATGATTTGATGTAAAATGTTTAGTTCCAAGTCAGAACTTTCACAGTGGTGATAGGAACCAGATGCTGGAAGTGTTTAATTCCTCTTAAAACTTCATTGCAGAAAGTTATCACGTGAAATGGTTATGAATGCTGCTGCCTGATGCCTAAAACATTGTTTTCTGGCAGGTCTGAGATACTCCTTTGGCATAAACCGTATTGCTAAAATGCAGCCATGGTGGGGAGGTACATGCAGGGTGTTGTAAGTAGTCCCAAGAAAACTGATTTTTTTGGCTTTGCTATTTTACCATGATCAGTGTTACACATGTAGACTCAGGAAACACATGTAGGTTCACTTGTTGTTTTGGATAGCAAACAAAAAGGCTATATTTGTGTCGTACCACCAATATTATAAAGAAATTGAAGTCAGTATGTTTCTCTACAATGCACCACTTCACCGCAAACTCAATGTTTGCTTTGATTACAGTTCAATGATTGAAATAAGGATAACATATTTCCGAATTCGTTTTTAAAATTGTTGAGCCGAAGCAGGAGCATGGCATCTTATACTAACTGGCCAAAGATCAGAAACAGAACAATAGCAGTGCTAACCAATGCCTCAAACAATAAACAATAAACTGCACTATGAGATCATTATTTGTTTGAGGTTTGTATGGTTGGTCAGTCTCAAAGTGCGCATGGTAAGTCTTTATAAACTGAGAACATTGTCAGTTCTAACAATGTGTACACAAGACCCAGGCCCCTTTAAGTTGATTTGGGGAAGAACTCTTCCAGTGTCTGGGCCCGAGCTGCAATATAAACCCTGCAATGTGTGGTTGCAAGTGAATGTAGCCATGGGGTTGGGGGTGTTGCCACCAAGGCCCGTACCCCGAAATTACTGAGAGACCTTGTGGTTGGTAGTAAGAGACATAAAGAGACATTCTTTTGGCCTTTTCGTATCCACACGCCATTTTTCCCTTGGTTTCAGCATCTGAAATAATGTGGTCCGTGTCCAACTGGTGATTTTGGGGCAGGAGACTGAAGAGGAGTCCTTCACAAGATATGGTTTGTGTCCTCTGTTTGTTGAGCGGAGCTACTGCTGTGCTAAGCTTGTGGTGCGTGTTTAGGCTACAGTAATTTTCACATTCATTAGCACACATTCACGTTCACATGGATGAGAAACTTTTATATAAAAGCTTGAACCTTTAGTTATGACCGCAAATAAAATCACATCCACATGTCAGTCACCACTGTGCATCTAAGACACAATTTTTCATCCAAGTACAGAATTTATCTTTTTGTGATACAACAAATGACAACAACTTAAAATTGTTAACTGTTAGTAATCACAGTTATTGCAATAGCAGAAGCCTTTTATCCTTTTATTCGAATATCTGCTCATTCATAACTCATTGAAGCAAAAAACATGAACACGTTGATACAGAATGTAAATCTAATGTAACTGTTATTCATTTTGTAACTAGCTATGTAATTATGGTACCATTTTTTTATTACATGTAAATAGTACAGCAAAACAGCAATAATAACTTCAGACATCTAACGCTCAGAGACCCCTAGTTCAGACTAAATGTCACTAGCACTAC